ATCTATCTATCTATCTATCTATCTATCTATCTATCTATCTATCTATCATCTATCTATCTATCATCATCTATCTATCTATCATCTATCATCTATCTATCATCTATCTATCTATCATCATCTATCATCTATCTATCATCTATCATCTATCTATCTATCATCTATCATCTATCTATCATCTTTCTAACTGATGAAACTGCTAAACATGGGCATTTTCAAGAAACATGCTTTTGGCCTAAAACTTGGCAGTTTTATATCCTTCTTGTGTGATAGCTTTCTTGTTTCTTTAAGTTGAATTAGTTACTAATTTTTTCTTTTAGCTAATTCTGTTATAATGTTTTGCTTAAATATCTTATTTGGACAGTCTAGGTATGCTATTAAGAAACCAACTCATATGAATCCAAAGGAGTATTGGAAAATCACCCAAATTTTGAAGGAAACTATGGAAAAAGCATAAAAAATTGAAAAAATTAGTTATTTAAATACTGTACCAAGAGATCAAAATGAAACGAAAATATAACCATAAAAGAAAATACATTTTGGTATAGGTTATTAGTTAATGTGAAAAGCATCTATACATTGTCTCTATCTTTTTCATTAATTGCTACCTAAGATTCAGTGTTCTATAAATTATGACATGAAACATGAGCACTAACTTTGTTTTGTAAGTAATTTATGTGGTACAGGTATTAATCATAAAGAGATATATATCTTACATCTGAGATAAAACCAAGAAGTGATGTTCGAAATTTACAAAGTCAAGAAAAGTAGTTGTTTGATAAACATTAGAATAACTTGATTTAACTAAAATCTACTTGATTTTGAACACATTGCTAAAATTTTCCTCTTTTTATCTCTGACTCTACTTAAAAAATCTTTGTGAAAATATATTCTGATTTATCTTCAGAACCCATTAGTCATTAACCATTACAGATGGATGTGGTTGTTCACAGACATTCTTATAAGATAGAGAATAACAGGAGTTGTCTCCCTCTATAAATTTAAGGGGGGTAGTGAGTCTTGTTAGTGAAAATAGTACCATTATGCAAGACATATTATTTTCTGATTATAAGACAGAATAAGTAGAAATGTAGATGTTTCTCTTTCATTAAGAAGAAAACAAAACACTCTCATCTGGAAACCCTACTTTCCTCTTATGTGAAAATCTGAAATGCAATCACGTGCCATTTAACAATGGGGATACGGTGTGACAAAATTTATCAGGCTATTTCATGGTTTGAACATCTTAGAGTGTGCTTATGCAAACCTAGATGGTATAGCCTACTACACACCTAGGCTTACGGTGTGGCCTACTCCTCCTAGGCTACAAATCTGTACAGCATGTTACTGTACAGAACAGCACTAAATTAAATGAAGCACAAGATAAAATGATGCATTTGAGAAGCATGGTAAATGCAAGATTTATGAGGTTGCTGCTGGCATAATAGGGCATTACTGTTTTACAGTAATTTTTTAATTAATACAAAGAATATACTCTAAAATAATGATAAAAACTGTCATACAGTAAATACATAAACCCGTAACTAGTCATTTATTATCATTATCGAGTAGTATGCAGTGCACATCATTGTATGTGCTATACTTTTATACCACTGGCAGCACAGTAGGTTTGCACCAGCATCACCACGGACACGTGAGTAATGTGTCGCACTACATACAGCCTTTCAACAGCTCTGACATCACTAGGTGACAGGAATTTTTCAGCTCCATGATAATCTGCATATTGTCACATAAGTGACCTGGCATTGACTGAAAGGTTGTTATGTGGCACATGACTGCATGTGGATTTTTCTGATGTGAGTTTTTCCAAATGTAAAAATTTCTGAATAAATAAGTGTAAGTTTGAACACTCCTTTTGGAGTTACTCAGAAAAAGAATAACTTTGAAAGGGGGACAGAAAAAACAGATTTGGAACAGAAAATAGTACTTGCAATATAGTCTGAGAAATAATACAGGGAGATCAGTCCTGATGATTCCCTCCCATGTCTGTTACGGGAAGGACACTCCCAGTCAGAGAGGGGCTGGCACAACCAGGGCATGTGGCTTGGCCGTGACCTCGCCCTTCTACCAGGGTGTCATCAGGGATGAAACTTGGGCTTGTAGCCCTGAGCGTGAAGCAGGAGGCTGGAGAGCTGCTCTGACAGCCCCGCAGCGTGTGTGAGAAAACGGGAGAGAGAAAATTGTGTGTGCAAGGGGCCTTTCACTGCCCCCCAGGAAATATTTCGTATCAATTTCTCACCTTTCTGAATATCTCATTTCCTGTTTCTTTTTTTCGTCCAAGTACTTTATTATTTAAATTTTAGACATGAGGAAAATTTGAAAAAATTCGCAGTGAAACCCATTTATTCACCTCTAGACTCTAATCTTGTTACTTATTTTAGAACCTAAAATGTTTTTCAGGGATAATAAATAGTGAATGAATATTTGCTAATTCCATCCCAATAAGAATATTAGACAATGTTATTTGGAAGAAGAAATTAACAAATATATAGAGCAATGGCAATTTCTGAAACAACTATGTAAATCTGTTAATACAAAAAAAGTTCATTTTTTTAAAATGAAATGTCAGGTAAGGACCTGAGGATTTGTTTTTATTGATTTTTAGAGAGAGAGGAAGCGGGGAGAAAGAGAGAGAGAGGGATGGGAGGGAGAAACACCCATCAGTTGCCTCCCGTACCTGCCTGGAACAGGTGTTGAACCCACAACTGAGGTATGTGCCTGACCAGGAATCGATTCCCCAACCTTTTGGTGCTCAGGAGGACGCTCCAGTTAACTGGGCCACCCGGCCAGGGCAAAAAGTTTATTCTTTGTAATGCAAACAAACAAAAACAAATAAGGTTTAGTTAATTGACTTCATAATTGACCTTTTGGATTTTGTGAATTGTTCCATGTTCCAGAGAAAATTACCTGCCCATGTACTATTTTCACCAGTTTAGATAACTGATTTATCTCTTCATAGGTAATTAAACTTCCTCTGCATCTGGATGATGAAAAAGCCCGTGCGGGACATGTGCAGCTCCCCCCTGAGTTTCCCGTTCGTTTACCGGCTGGAGCAGAGGAAGCAGAGTCACGTGTGGAAAATACAACTGGACTTTCAGCGAAAGAAAAAGAGGAAAACCTCTGTGCGTCACTGGATGATGGAGCCAAATCCTCATTACACTCTTCTCAGGGTTAGTGGGCTTTTTTTTCAGCTTTCTATGGCTAATATTTCAAGTAGTGTTATTACATAAAACTAGGCAATACATTTTAATTATTAATGCATTTTTTATCATGCTGTTCAAAGAGAAGGCAATCATCTATAAGAATATTAATTTTCATGTTGCATAATTCTTAAGCACATAATTAAATATAAAATTAGTTAATGGAAATGCAAGTTTTTCTCTATGGCCTTATTGCATTGAACTATTTTTTTTAGTTTTCTGGGGGACAGTTTGACTTTTTTTGGCTCTTAGTTCTAGATTTTAATTTTTCTTGCATGCTCACAAGAGTCGTATCTAACAAATGGCTATGAAAGAAAAAATATTCATAGAAAAATGTTCTCAAAATAATACAGCTTATTTATAAGCCTCTGTTCTCAAAGCTTGGTTTAATCAAGCGCTAAATAAGCAAATAATGTTTTTTGAAATATTCTGTGTACACAAGTGTCAGTTATTTTTTGCAAAAGAACTATTTTCTATTAGTAATAATTGTAGGGGATAGATTAATAGCAGCTGCAGTAATAATAGCAATTATGGTATAATCAGCATAATACTAAGACTAGAAGTATTACCAATAATAATAATCATGCATTGCATGTCTTTAATGTGCCAGGCACTGTAAGCGGCTTATTTTTTAGTTTTTGAAATTATCAAATATTTTAAACATACTATACAGAAAATAACATAACATGCACTAGTACCCAGGACCTGGCTTGGTCCATTCTCGCTATTTTGCCATGTTTGCTTCACATCTTTTCTTTTAATAAGTAACATTTTACATGTAATTGAAGCCCTTTGTGAACTGGAGCTTGATTCTATTCTCAGCCCTCTTAGAATTATTACTGATTTTTTTGTGATTATTTTAATACATTTCCTACAGATATATGCAATGATAAGCAATGCATATCTTTTATAGGTATTCAAGTTTATATAAACATACCACACTTTACATCTTCCCCTGCAACTCTATTTTCTCTCAACATTGTCTCTGAGATTTATACACACACATACAGAGTATAGTCATCTCTGGTTTATTGATTCAGTTGCCGTATAGGATTTTTTTGCATGATTGGAGCAAAATTTTATTCTTATTATTCATATTGTTTTCAGTTTTGCTTTATTGCAAACAAGGCTCTAGTGATTGTTCTTGGACTTGTCCTCCTTGTGCCCGTGGGAGTGAGTGTCACGGGCGCCCATCCCCAGGAGGGGACCCCGAATCACAGGGCACACGCTCCTGCTTCTTGCATTTTCAGCGCAGTGGCTCACTCCCCCCGGAGTCGGCCCGTTACCCTCCCAACGGCCGTGTGCGGGCGCTTCTTTGGTTCATCATCTACCAGCGCTTGTTAAAGTCAGTTTTGCCAGTTCAACTTGAAGTGAAATGATATCTATTTATTTTAATTTGAATTTTCTTGAATACAAGTAACTTTGAACATTTTTTCTATATATTTCTGTTGACCACTGGGTTTTTGTTGCTGTTGTTGTTGTTGTTTCGTGTGAATTGCCTGCTCCTATGCTGTGTCCACTTTTCCTTTGGGTCGCTTTTTCTCTCTCACTGATTTGTAAATGTCTTGGTGCTTCCCCCCTGTGGGATGAGTGGTGGGAAATACTTGATTCAATTTTGATAGTCATTGATTATCCAATTATTCTATTATTAATTCAAATTTTTTAAAAACCTAATTGGATTAACTTAGTCATAATATGACATTATCTTTTAAAATTGTATTTCCTTTTGTTACAGTTTTATTGGGTAGGTGATAAATTCACATTGTGCAAAATAAAATCTGCCTCCCACTGGTGCTTGTCCCCCCAGCAACCTCATTCTTATCCCTCGAGTGAATCAATGTCTTATATATTATTCAATAGATATGTGTGTATGAAATCATATGTAAAAATGCTATTATAATTTGGAAACACTGCGAAAGAAGCTATAGTTGTATTACTCTTTTCATTACTGATGTGAATTAACAGATGCCTTCTTTATCAGTCTTCCTTGGCATATATATCTTTATTGATTTCAGAGAGAGGAAGGGAGAGGGAGAGAGAGAGAGAGAAACATCAATGATGAGAGAGTCATTAATCGAGCCCACAACCCGGGCATGTGCCCTGACCAGGAATCGAACCCCGATCGCCTGGATCCTAGGTCAACCACTGAGCCACGCCCAGCCGGGGAAGGTTTTTATATTTTTATTCATTTTTAAAACAATATAAAACTGCTCATTTGCCTCTATTAAGACTCCTCATTAATTTTTTGTTTTTATGTATTATACTCTTAGCTTTATTAATTCCTTACCCCTATATTCTTCAGGTTTTATTTGAGGTCACTTTTTAATCTCCTTCATGTGAAAGCTGAACTCATTTACCTTCAGTTTTTATTTACCTGATAGTTATGGGTGAAATCACAGTTGTGACTGGTTCTATCCGTTTTTCCCTGTAATTCTGTCAGATGTTGCTTTATATATTTTAAATCTGTTGTCCAGTGCACTCAAGTTTATGATTGTTATAGTTGTGTGCTGTTATTATTTCTTTCATATAGCTGTAGTCTCCTACATGTCTATGAATGCTTTTGGATTTATATTCTAGTTTTTCTGTTATTAATACTACAATCTGAGGTTTTTTAAAAAATAAATATTCTTCTGGCATATATTATTTTTCTACACTATATTTTAAAAGATTACAACTCTTCTTGGCTGGTATGCTCAGTTAGTTGGAGTGTCATCCTGGGCATGAGAAGTTGCCAGTTGGTTCTGAGTTCGATCCTGGGCAGTCAGGCGTGAAAGGAGGCAAGAGGCTGATGNGGTTGCCAGTTGGATTCCCCGTCAGGGCACAGACCTTGGTTCTGAGTTCGATCCTGGGCAGTCAGGCATGAAAGGAGGCAAGAGGCTGATGTTTCCCTCACACGTCCATGTCTTTCTCNAGTTGCCAGTTGGTTCTGAGTTCGATCCTGGGCAGTCAGGCGTGAAAGGAGGCAAGAGGCTGATGTTTCCCTCACACGTCCATGTCTTTCTCTCTCTCCCTCTCTCCTGTCCTCTCTAAAATCGGTAAAACATATCCTCAGGTGATGATTAATAAAATAATAATAAAGTAAAAACATTTAAAACTCATTTGTGGTGTGCTTCTAGGTATGCCTTAGCAGCATAAATCTAGATTTTATTTTTGTGTTCAAGAGAAGTAGACAATGTGCATTTTAATAGGTAAGTTTAATTTTTTATAATGACCGCTTTCTGTTATATTTATACTTGTTGATAACGTTTTACTTTGCATTTTTGTCTTGTATTTTTTTGCTTTTTGAAAAAATACTTTTTTTCTGTATTTCTTTTTAACCCAAAATAATTTTCTTTATTTTGTGTATCTTTTGCTGTTTATAATCTATAGGTTTTATTGTTAATTATTTTAGACATTATCCTTTATTTTCTCATCTACATATTTAACTACAAATTATCTTTACAAATCTGAGTTTGCCCAGGACTTCCCTTCTCTTCTTGAACGTGGCAGGGGCCTTTGGTACGCTGTCCCTACCCATTAAACACCGCCATATCCTCTCATGTTAGTTTTGGCTAGGCTTTCAGGGTTTTTTGTTTTTTTTTAATTAAGCAAGAAAAGTAGTTATATTATATTTTTTGTTCTTTATAGAAAATTAACTTCCTGACACATTTGATCAGTATCTGATATCAGCTTCATGATATTTTTAATATAGCATGTCTTCACTCTGGTTCTTTTTTTCTTCTTTTTGAAATAAATCTTTAGTAAGTCATTTAGAGTTTGGATCTGTGAGTACTAAACTATGTTAGCTATTGTGTGCCTCAAAAAAACCTATTATTTTTTCTCACTTTTGATAGATTTTCCATGTGTAAAATTCTAGGGTAGTAATAATTTTTTCTTACTATTTTATCTGCTATCTTTTTGAGTGTATTGTGGCTGATGAGAAGCTGGTATTGAGTAGCCACTGAAGGATCTGAAGAAGGGAAGTGATGTATTTTCATCTCTCTTTTAGGGAGACCCATCTCAGGTTTTAGGAGGGTTCATTTGAGGAGAGCATATCTAGAAGCAGGTCACTTAGAAAACATTTATAGTAGTCCAGGCAACAGATGAGGGCCTGAATTAGGGCAGAGATGTAAAGCTGGAGAAGAGAGTGTACACTTATAAAATATTAAAGAGGTGCAGTGGAACTGACCATAGAACTAAGGATAAGAGTGTTCCTGCGGATTAATTGGATATGGATGGTGAGAGATAACGAAGGGTGATTCCTAATTTTTTAGTATGAATAGATGTGGATATCAACTTGATAAGAAATAAAAGAGGGCCCGGCCAGGGTGGCTCAGTGGTTGAGCATCGACCTAGGATCCAGTAGATCATGGTTTGATTCCCGGTCAGGGCATAGGCCCGGGTTGGGGCTCGATCCCCATTTGGGGGCGTGCAGGAGGCAGCTGATCAATGACTCTCTCATCATTGATGTTTCTCTCTCTCTCTCTCTCCCTCTCCTGTCCTCTCTCTGAAATCAATAAAGATATATTTTTTAAAAACAAATAAAAGAGGGAGGGAGAAAATTAGGAAAAAAATCCATGAGCTTGATGTTGGACCTACTGTTATATTGTATCCAAATAAAATATTCAGGGGACTGTTGGGAAAATGCAGGTGGAGCTCGGGAGAGAGGGAGCTGGAGAGCAGGGGAGGAGTATGTCACGTGTACCTGAAAATGCTCTGTTGAAATTTTATGCACAGAATTCATATATATCAAACCGTGCTGACTCTCTTTAAGAAAATATTTGTGAAAATAAATTAGAAATAAGATATGTAATGAAACTAGGTAATAAATGCCAGCACTATAAAGCAACTTGATTAAAGTGTCTTGTTTCTCACACTTGAGAACTTGGATATGCTTTACTTGTAGGCAGAGAAGGTAAGAGGTGACCCACATCCTGGCCTGGTTTGGGGGGATAGTGAGTGGAGCTAGCAGTCCTCGAAATGCACAACTG